ACGATACCTTCCAGCGAAGAGAGAGGTTAGGAATCCTCGGTAAGAACCGAAATGCAATGCCATAGCACTAACTATACTGGAAAAAAAAAAAAACACATTGGATCTAGAGTCCAGACTCTTGAAAACATCGACAAGAAAAAGTACTCTTGATTCAATCAGAATCAAGCTTAAATAAAGAACCAAGCCCTTAATTTAAGCGGATTTCCTTTTGATTTAAGCTTAAATCTGATTGAATCAAGAGTCCTTTTTCTTGTCAATGTTTTCAAGAGTCTGGACTCCAGATCCAATGTGTTTTTTTTTTCCAGCGTGGACCACCTTTCAGTGGAAATTCTCACAGGTGTATGTACTAGAGGGCTACCCTACCCGCTACCCGGCTTCCAAATTTTCAGCTCCACGTCCTCTGCAGCACGTTTCACGATTGAATCAAGAGTATTTTTTCTTGTCAATGTTTTTAAGAGTCTGGACTCTAGATCCGATGTGTGTTTTTTTTTCCCCCATGTGTATCAACCCTTCAAGAATGAAAATCGTGGAGCACAGGGGGGCAAAATGTGATGAAAAATAAAATTTTGAAATTTCACGTGAAATATTTCATGGAATTTCAAAAATTTATGAAATATATTGAAGAATACCGGTTCCTTTTCATGTTATGCAAAATGTAAACATTGTGACTTTCATCTATTTTTGTGTGTTTGAGTGCGGGTTGCATACTCTAGCACCTGGAAAATATGAAATATTTCACAGCTTCGTGAAATTTCAAGAAATGTCTTAGGTAAAGCCTCGTGAAATTTCATGTAATATTTCACTGAAATTTCCAATCTTTCATTTCTTTCTCACGTTTTATGCCACCCTGGTTGAGCATATGTTTTGGATAAAACGAGTTAGAAGATTATCTTCTGCATAGAAACTTGTATACGCCAAAATGTTAGGTTTAGCGAGATAAACGATGGGTGACATCTCGAGAAATTGCGAGAGAAAATCAACAACTCCATGACTTGTGTGCAGTTGTATAAAGTTTACCGAAACTCATGTATCTAAAATATGGTACGCTGACATGACACGACGCGACATATACATAGATGTGTTCTCTGTTCTACACGACGGAGGCAGCTGAATAATTTTTTTAACGAGCTTAGAACACCCTCGCGTGTTTACAGAGCAGTGCAGTGACATTTTTTGTTAAAACGCATTAAGAACTGTTCAGTGTGACTAAACGAGGAAAAACAGATTGAACACTCACAAAAATAAATTTAAAAAAAAAAAATGCAACAAAATTCTCTTGTATATCTCGCCGTGACTAGGTACAAAGAGCTACTCCTCAGTTATACTTCTCTACTACTCCCTTACTACTTCTCTACAATTCAGGTGCTGACTGCAGGGCCGGATTAAGGGGGTGGCCACATTGGTCGCGGCCCATGGCGGCAAATCTAGAGGGCGGCAAATTTTGCAATTTTTTTAAATGTAAGTATAAAAAAATATCGGATTTAGAAGAAAAAATTACAAACGAGAAAAGGCGACAAAATCTGTAACACATATTCGCGCCTTCAAGACTGCACGAATACTTCACGCATTGCATCAAACACAGTGCGGTAATTGCGGTCAGCGTGAAACGGATAGCGCCTACAAGGATGCATGAATACTTCACGCATTGCGCCAAACACGGTGCGGTCTGCGCGGCGCGGCGGCGGAAGTTAAAATTATTAAGCCACATTCATGTTTGTTCTTTCATAATTTTTTTGTTCATTTCTTATGAATGAAAGGCCTTGTCTACACAGAGATAGGTACACGAAACTTAACTTTTGCTAGTAGTGTTGACAGGGCATATTCCCAAAACATGTGTTCAACACGAGTAAACGCGTCTTATGCACCCCTCCCCTGCTGGCACGTTCACTTGATGGTTTTTTTTTTTTTGATGTTTCAATACGAATGAGAAGGAGGCGGCAAAATACAGGCGGCCCATGGGCGGCAAGTAGGTAAATCCGGCCCTGGCTGACTGAAACCATAGCGTTTGGTCAGCCGAGGATACCCGATTCAAACATCCTCGTATAAAAAAACCCAAATGGTCAAATTGGAACCATAGAATTATTATTCCGTAAAAAAGATGGTTCAACAAGATGCTTCCTCGCGAACTCTTAGACACGGTATTTTTTTAATGCGATGTGTACTTATCTTACGAGATTGTAGACACCTTATTATTTGCGGGGATAGCATGGAATTTTCAAAGAGAGCTTTATATAAGCGAGAGAACACTGCCCGAAGAGGAAAAAGCTAGCGCTCACTCAAAGAGCCTAAGTGCTTAACATCCAACACAGAAAATGCACGAACTCGAGTACGTATGAGTCGGCACACTTAGCTCCGCTGTTCCCAGAATTTCCGATTAGGTAACAATTTAAGCGTCAGCAAAATCTCAAAAAGCAGTAATTAACCGAACTTGCGCTTATTTGCGCAGAATGTGTATAGAATGATGAGGCTTCAAATGGCAAATCGAAAACTTACGGGGTATCCTTTCGAAGACAAAAATGAGTCCTTATTAAGCTTGAAGGGCTACAAGGCCAAGGGCTATTGCTCCTAAGGCAGTCTAAAGAGGCAGATTTTATGAGATGAATATTTTGGAGGTATTACTACTTGACGTAAGAAAAGGGTACATACTGACCAGGAATAATTTAAAACCGAGAAATCGTCGGTCGATTCATTTCGGTCGAATCCATACCCTCCGCTTCTACTGCTTTTCGCGAAAACTTTGGGGCGCGAAGTCTCTTGAAATTGAAAGAATGCTACGCTTTAACTGGTAGGGAAAATTTTTAAGTTCTGCAGCAAAATCCCCTGACTTTTCAGAGTGGGGCAAAACTGCCAGACTTTTCAAGAGCTTGTCACCCTACGAAATGACCGTAGTGCGAACGATAAAAAGGAAATAAATTATCGAGACAGACACGGTCATTAAAATCCATTGCAGGATCGTAAAATGCTTCTGGTGACGGCCCGCATGAGGTCCGATGCAAGTACTGCCGTGCTGAGTAGAAACGCTGCAAGACCATTCGAATGTCGCCAATTTTCCTTTCAAAGAATATTCATCTTTAAAGAAAGTTATTAAAATTTTTCCTTGAAATTCTCGGACTTTTAAGATCAAATTACGATCGAAATCATCTGAAAAATCGGAGGAGAAATATTCACAAATTTTCCTGGAAATTCGCGATCGGTCGGGGGAAATTTGCCAATGCCCGATGGCATATACGGCGTTCTTCCATAGCGCGATAGAGTAGTGGACGACCTATATCGTGGGCACGTTTCCACGTTTCTATCTTTACCTCACGTTCCCTACCTTGACTGTTCATCCTACCCGTTCAGTTCAGAGGACCTCCTGGACAGGAACCAAGGGGTCCACCAACCGCGATTAGAATCCTTGACCAACTTGTCTCACTCGCTCTTCGATCAAGGTCTCGCTATAAAAATCCTTTGACCGAAAATGCATGGCAAATGATCTGCACTATCACTTCGATCTACCAGTATCCGATATCCGAGCAATTCCGTTAGACCGTTACCGCAAAACCCCGAAGAATGAATGACATTGCAACTCGGATCGAATCGCAAACCTTGACTCGTGTGACATTGTGCAGGGCAGGAAATGAATCTTCCTGTTGCATAAATCGTGTCGCTTTCACTTGAATCGTAGTATTTTGTTGCGGGAGCGGGGTGTCGGAGGAGTCCACTGCCGTCCTAAGGAAGAACACCGTATGAACCACCAGGCGTTGCCAAATTTTCTTGGGCAAATCACAATTTTTCAGGGAAATTTGTGAATATTTCTCCTCAGATTTTACAGAGGATTTTTCTTGTAATTCTATCTAAAAGTCAGGAAATTGTAAGGAAATATTCATAACTTTCTTTACAAATGAAATTTTCTGAGAAGAAATTTCCCAACATTCGAATGCTCAAACGGTGTTTCTACTTATTGTTAGCACGGTAGACCAGGGATATTGAATGATCGATTCTGATTTTTCTCTAGAGGCCACTTGGGGGAATTTTCATGAGCGGAACAAGGGACTTTTCAGAGTGGTCCAGGGGGAGGGGGGGATTACAAAAAATACTCAACTAAGAGGAATCTACCTGCATCTGCAGGAATCCCCTAGATCTTCAGAGGGGGGGACCCGGGAAATATTCCTAATTTTGACCTCCTCGGAAAATTTTTGAAGAATTAAGAACTTAGTTACAAGACCGATTTTTAGCTGTTCTGACTGAAAAGTTGATTCGATTAAAATTTTCGAGATAAAAAAATATGTCACACACTTGCCTGACATAATCCCTCACATTGCGCCAATAAATCCTCATTCCAGCAGCAGGGAAGAATTGTATTAGCTACAACAAATTCTACCACATTGGCGGCTTGTTTTGAAATAGGACATACCTATCTAGGCAGAGGAAAAGGGCAGACACTCTTTTCAGGATGCCCATCATGGATTAGGAATGCCTATCTTCGGGATTTTAGGCAAATGCTTACAACATTCATGGACCGATTGTAAGTTTGGGAGTTCTTCTTAGTCGAAAAATGTTCTCACCATTATAGTGGCACGAGGAAACAGGTTTGATTGGTTATAAGTATGCCATTGATAATGTGGTAATCATCCAGACTTGCAACTATCTACATCATTCAGGGGCAGAGTAATTAATTAGGTAGTTAATATCCTGCTAGGGAGAATGAGCACAAATTACATCGGAGCTATCGCTACTGTAAATTGATAAAATAGTTTTCAAGGGTACTGATTGGTCATTGTTGGGAAGATGTGTACGGCTGTGAAAGGAGACTAACCCTTGGATATTACTAACTTTTCCTCTCATGGCCCCACTGAGACAATAATGATCGTCAGATTATGAGACAATTTCGTCTCACTCTGATGTTGCTCAACAATTCCATTTAATGAACATTTAAATATTCTGAAGTCTTCCTTTCGTTCAAGGCACAGAAACCAGGTGCAGTTATATAATAGATTAAACAAGATGATGCGACTTACCTCTTTGACTTTGTTTCTTTTCTCCCGAACAGCCGGATCAGGATCCTCTCCACCTTGGACCACAGGATAGTTATCACTTTCAGCAGGAGGAACTGTGACTACTTTCGACAAATCAACGACGCTAGGTACTTTGAAAGGAACTTCCGCTTTCATCGAGCTTGACCCGACGTTCATTTGATCCAATCCGAAATCGGGTTTCTCGAGCACTTTATCCCTGATATTTGAGCGCCAGTCTTCGTCAATTTTGGCTTTTAATTTGGCCTCATCTTGAGCGATGTGAGGGTCATAGTCATTATCATGGTGTCTCATGCGATTATTGGATAGGTCATGAAAGTTACCATGAGGAGGAGCAGGGATCAGGAGTTCAGGTCCAGCCTTCTGCATGTGTTTGTAGACACTATATACACTATTGACGGTGTTCGAACCACTCTTGAATTCGGGCAAGAAGAACAGGGCACCAAAACACACAACACCAAACGTCAGAAACACGAGAAGAATAAGGTATTTTTCTTTGGATCTAAAGGAACGGCGAGCAGAACTTGGCATGGGAGCGCCATTCATATATCTCTGATACGTAGGTAAAATTCCAGTCGCTGCCATTTTTAATATGATAAACAATTAATACACTTTCCCAACAAAACTCGAATTAAATTCCACGGACGGCCCAGACACGAACACTTCAACACCGCGCCATTTTGAAAACTGACAAAGTGCATGGATTCAGGAAAGAGCAGAAGAAAAGGAACAGGTAATGACGAATGCATACTTTTTGCGACCTCAGCGCGATCTTTGTAAAATGTCTAAAACTTGTAAATAAAGTTGATATTTTCTGCAGATCTGGTAACGTTGCATCATTGTTTATTTTCATGCTAAAGCATCTTTTTTTGCCGCGTTCATGTTCTCTTTTTCAACTTGTTGGTAAGAATTACGAATATATTTTACTCCATCTTATTTATACTATGTCCTAGTTAAGTTTTTTAAAGCCTTCGTGTACTGTTACCCTAATTCCCACGGTTCATGGGTTTATTACATAATTCGACCCTAACCTAATTTCAACAACTCCAACCAACCTGAGGCCTATGCATGCACCCATTTACTTTTTAATATCTTTAATTTTAAATAATTTCCAAGCTTATCCTAGGGTTAGTAAAGTGGATGAAGGTTCAGGTTGATCCCTGTTTTTATCTACGTCGATAGTCCGCAAGATCATCGATTCATTAACGCACGTCATCCTCAGAAAATGTCTCGCATGAATGCATGATGTAGATGCCCATTCTCATAAAAGAGTCAGGGTAGGTGATGATTAGTTGAAATTGTAAAATCTGAAAATGTTCTTTATGGCACTTGTATTTTACCTCAAGTTGCCATTGTTTGAACAACCACTTTTTATGCTCGAAACGCATTCCCTGCGAGTGAAATTTGCAGAGGCTACAGTTCAGAAGAGGAGCTGTCCATGAACTTAGCGTAAACAGTTGGTTCATTAAATCATTCCAGAACTTTAGTGAATGAACCATTTCCCTAGGTACGTCAAGTTCTTCAAAGGCTCTTCTCCTACAAACTGGGGGCCTCAAACTGGCATCAGGTTGTTATTAAATTTCTCTGCTTTGTCTGCATGTAGTTCTCTACAAAGTATCAAGATCTGACCTATGATGCATCCCGAATGCATTGGTTACCTCTGACAATTGTCAAGCCTACAATCTTCCAAAGGCAACCATCATCATCTACATTGATGAGCCTTTTTGTAGCTCCAAGGTAAAACGGGGAGAATAACTTAATGGTATAACCAGTTACAGCGGCTCATACTATCAGATTTAGCTATATCCTGGTCAGATTTCCCTCTGTTACTAAATCTGTTGCTTCTTGCTTCAAGGCATAGTGTCATAGCAGCTAGAACAGGGGAAAGGATGGATTGGACTGATATCAAACCAACCCAAAGTGTATCAATGGAAAAATGCACTATTGATCAGCATATAAATATTTGTCGAATGGTGCTGTTATCTAATGTGACTCTAGTTCAATCTTTTCTTTCTGCTCTCCTTTCAGTCGTCACATCACCATACAGATTCTACATTTTATCAAATTGGGTCAAAATTCTAACAATGTTGTAAGCTTTCTCAATAAGAAAAATGATGCTGAATTGATTCATAATGTCTTTCTGTGACGAAGCACCCTCAACTTCAATTCTGATAGTGATGGGTACTTCAGATGAGTCTAGGAATACTATGAAGTCTGCCAAAATCAAAGCTATATCAATTATTTCTAAAGAAAAGTAGAATATTTAAGATTTTTGGAAAGTGCACTGCTGTTGGGAAGTGTTCAGTTGTTTTCACAAACAAGATCAGTGTTAGTGGACAAAGCAAATCTCACTAAGAATCTCCCCTGTGTTACCCAATCACTTATATTCATTAAATCTATATCAATATTATTAATAATAGAAAATTCAGACATTATGATGGAACGACTTGCAATGTATCATTTTGTCCTCCAAATATTTCTCTTTTATTTTTTGATCGGTGAGAATGGGCTCTTACTTTTCCTATAAATCATGCACAGTTGGAGAAAGTGTTCCACAAATATTTGGGGACTGAAAAACACTCCAAAACATTAAACCAAATCAAAATTATGATGGTTTGAAGCTTTCAGTGTGAGAAACTATTCTTTAGGGGAAAAAATATTTGAAATTTTTAGCCATCAGGTTCACAGCACTACATTGCTGGATGATAATGTAACTATTAATCACAATCATAAGGGCAAAAGAATTGAACTGCTCTCAGCTTATTCTTTACGCCACTGCAAAAAAAATTTTGTCTGAATTTCCAAATCTGATGTTTCGACCCAACTTGACAAAAATTCCCAAAGGAAATTCTGGATCTGTGTGGTTTTTTGGAATTTCACCTCCTTATGAAAGTTAATGATATTTTTCAAGTTTATGAAGTATTTTTTAGATTTTGTAAGTAATGAGCATTTATGTTTTCAGGTAGAATCAAAATGTCTTCAGCACCACCCGCCAAGAAGGCGAAAGCAGAAACTTCCGAGTCCAGTAATGGCTCTTCTTCAAGTGAGGGAGGATTTGAAGAATTTTTGAAACAAATAGAAGAGGATCGAAAGAAGGTAATGATTGAATCATTTTCCTCATCAATTGTATGCTTTTTTTTCTAATGAGCAGTCAAACACTGTAAAGCTAATTCTAATACTTCTACCTCTGAAAAAAAAGCACTACCCTCTCAACACGGAGCTAAAACGGAGTCATTTCATGTTGAGACAGAAGTTAAGTATTGTTCATGTCACCACTCATTAAAGGGGCCATCTGACTGCATGTATTAACCTGTTGAGTGGTGCTGATCTGCAGCTTATCAGAGATTGAAATTTGACTCAACATACGATGACTCTGTTCCAGGAAAAACAATGGTGCAGTGTGTACTGTCGAGTTACTTGTAAAAATTGTTACAGATGGATGCAAAATCTTGATTGGCTTGCTTGTCTGGACATATTTTTTGGACCTTTTCCCTTTTTCTATTCTTAGAGAAACCTTGTTAAAGCAAAATAAAATTAAATCAAACTGGATAGCCAGTGCTTCAGTCACTTCTCATGCTTTAAAATATGCTCACTCTGAGGTATCTACCTACTTGTACGTTTAAAGCAACTTTCATGAAAAGTATCTTTTAATCCATATATTTCAATCAGTGAACTCCAAGCAGTTTTTTTTTTTATTGTTACTTTTTTCTTCTTTTTTTATAGAGTCATTTTTGTCAGTCAATTATCTAATCACTTCATGTTAAAATAAAGGGGGAGGGAAGAAAACATTTACTGATCAATAAATTATATAAATTAAGTGACACAATGCCACATTTTTTATGCATGTATTTTTTATCGGATTTTCAACTGCAGAAAAATCATTCCTTCTTTCTCCTTGCTTCTTTCACCATTTTTCAGCGTTTAAACCAACCCATTTTTTTCTTCTGAATTCTCTCTCACTCTTAATTCTCTCATTAATATTGTTGTCTCTCCTTGTCAGGCTGCCAAATCGGTTTTGGAGTTCAAATTTAATAAAAAACGAGTTCGAATTCTCTCAAAATCCAAAGAAGTTCCGGAGTGGGGAAAAGGTGTCATTTATTGGACTTTCAGAGACCAAAGAATTCATGGTAAGTTTATACGACTGTCTATCTTCATCTTTTTTAATTGATGAAAGAGCACTCCCATTCATATTTTTTTTAGAAAACTATTTCAGAAAATAGAATTTATGATAGTAAGCCTAGTAGGGTGTTCCTTATTATGAAATTAGTGAATTTCAAGTTAGTCAACCCCTCAAAAGTTTCTATATGGTGCAGGAAAACCTATATTTTTTGGAAAAATGTTATGAAACATTTTCACCCGCTGCCCAAGTGGGTGAAAGGGCGCAAGGTTGCGGTGTGTTTTTTTGGTTCTTCATCGAGTCCATATACTCAGGTAATGCCAGGTGATGGGAGTATGCTCCGAGGCTGCTTCTCAAATCAATCAATTATCCTCCGAGATAGATGTGTTCTCAATTGACAGAAAAGTAGTCACATTTTACCCGGGAATGGGCCTGTTGCAAACTTTTGCTAGAGCAAAAATAAGAGTTGTCTCTTATAGATAATGCCTCAAAAATCACGATGAGCGCATCAGCAAAGTCTGAAATGCACTCATAACTCCACAATCTGCCTAAGAAATTTGCGTTATTTTAAGCTTCCCGCTTCAAAAACGATACTACGGCACAGGTGAACATTTTGTTAGAGGAGTCGCTCCATCGTCGGCGATATTCAGCATGGCTGACGCTTGCACGCAGTTCCGCGCGTAATTCGGGGAGAGTTCAAGGTCAATCAATTCGGACGTGGAAAATATGAACGTAAACACGCCGATTGTTATCTGGTCTAATCCAGTTCAGGTGTTATCTCGTCCCATCACACGTGTTTTGGCGGATTGGCGTCGGCCATGATGAGTATTGCCGACGATGGAACGACTCCTCTTACAAAATGTTCACCTGTGCCGCAGTATCGTTTTTGAAGCGGGAAGCTCAAAATAACGCAAATTTCTTACGCAGATTGTGAATTTATGAGTGCATTTTAGACTTTGCTGATGCGCTCATCGTGATTTTTGAGGCATCATCTATGGGAAACAACTCTTATTTTTGCTCTAGCAAAAGTTTGCAACAGGCCCATTTTGGCTGATGTCCATGAAGAGAAAAACCCAAATCTATCCTTACTATCTCAACAATATCAGCTTTTTCTAATAAGAAATTGTATTCATCACAGAATAGACGTTCGTAGCTTGACAATGATTTGGAAGTTGTATTGAATAGATAACTTTTAAATAGGTATGTATGAGTGCCAATTAATTCTTTAATGGAGGAAATATCATAGATTTTATGAAACACATTAAGGGCCAACTAGTGCCATATTTTTGAAGTGAAACTTTTTTTTTTTATTCTTTCAAGATTTACCATATGAAATTCTAATCCCTCTCAAATTATTATAATACAGCATACCTTTCACTGCCACAGATTTGCACTAATTTTTATGAACTGAAGCAACGTGGCTTTTAATTATGTATGTTGGAGTAGAGTTCAGACTTTAATGTGCTCATCATAATTTTTGGAAATTTCATTTTTTATGTCATTCAGATCATAGTTAAATCATAGTTAAGAATCTGTTCATAATAGAATATCTGCTTGTCATATTGTTAACTTTTTTCCTTCATTTTCAGACAACTGGGCATTCTTATTCGCACAAAAATTAGCACTTAAAAATGATGTTCCTCTCCATTTTGCCTTTTGTCGATTGCCAAAATTCTTAGATGCTACATTGCGACATTTCAAGTTCATCTTTGAAGGTAAAATATTGAAGTATTTAATGCATTTTGGGGGACAGTACTATTGCTATTAAGAATGGACAGAAATTCTTATGGGATAGTCGCTCTTTGTTTTTTCAACCAATTTTCTCAAAGTACTAAAACATACGGAGACATTCATTTAACTGAATTTTAGCCAAGAGAACAGCTGTCAAAGTCACGAAAAATTCTGCCTCGCTCCAAACAGAAAAATATCGCACCAACAGTTTTTGTGACGCAATTTGAAAAATTGGCCTTCTTTGCTGGTTTTACCGGCAAGGTACTACAAGGTTAGCAGCTGTTATAGAACATTCCGTGTTTAAAGGTTATGTTGTCTTCTTTTGATGTAGTATTAACGGTTCTGAGCTTGCTCTCTTCTCTTTTTCGTTTTCCTCAGCGTTTGAACATGGATACAATAGGATTCCAAATACGAGAAAATTCATGCAATATTTTGGGAAATACATATGTGTGGCGGCTGTTTAGTCGTAGTGTTTTCATTTGATCTGCCGTGGTTAAAACCATGGGTCAGTGCTTTTCTTTACTTGCAAAGAATTCAATTTAAAGACAGGAAAAAAATGAACTATTTATTTTTCAGGTTTAAAAGAAACAGAGAAAGAATGCAAAAAATTGAATATTCAATTCCATTTCCTCATTGGTTGCGGAAAAGATGTTTTACCTGATTTTGTCAAGAAGCATAAATTAGGAGCTGTTGTGATAGACTTTATGCCTCTTCGTGGGCCAATGGCATGGGCTGATGAGCTATCAAAAAGCCTTCCAGATGGCGTCCCCTTGGTCCAGGTAGATTCTAAGAGTTATTTTTTTCAAATCTGTCAGTACCTAATTTCAACCATCCAATTATTTTGTATGGCAGTATCAAACTCAAATATGTTAGAACCTTTATAAAGACAAAAATTTCAGCATTAAATAGGTTTTCTAATTTGCTGAATTTTTCTATTTTTAAAAACTTACTCTTTTGCCTTCATCAGAGGGATATTTAGTGGATATTGAAGCTTAAATAATGGATTTGTATCAATGATTAGCCATATTTTTATATTTTGCTGCAAATATTCTCTCTAAGCAGCAGTTAGTTTTGCTGAATAATTCTGTAAGTAAATCTTCATTTTGATACGTGGACTGAGCTTAAGATTCAAATAGAAGCTTGAAATTTTTTGTGTAGGCCGAGAATCAAGAATATTGATACCATAGTTTAATACATAGTATCTCTTCATTCATCACCATACTCTTCAATATCAGTATGAATTTTTATCAAAAATGATTCCAGGTTGACGCGCATAACATTGTCCCCGTTTGGGAGACTTCCGAAAAACTGGAGTATGCTGCCAGGACAATCCGTAACAAAGTCAATGGTAAACTCCCTGAATTCCTGACTCAATATCCTCCTGTTATCAAACATCCACATTCTGGTGACTTAAAAGCAAGTGTGAGTACCTACATGTGTTTCATTTTTATCTTGGACTCATGAACCCTAAGAAGGAATCGATCCTGTTTTTAAGTAAAAATGTCCAAGTAATAGTACGAGCACCTCTCCAACTCATCAACGTAATCTGCAAGGCAAGGGTGTTCAATGAGATTTTGGCTACATTGAGAATCTGTATTAATAGAAAATAAATTCATAATTTGAGCGACTAAATTCCAATTGTATGCCATTCTTTAACTTTCACTATTTTCACTATCATAGGTTTTTGTTAAATATATCACCAATCTAAATCAATGACCAGTTAAACTCAGAAGAAATCAGATTGTTTTACAGTCCGCTAACAAGCATGACAGGTTGTCGAAGAAGGTCCTTGATTGGGCTCCTGGGAGAAGGCGCAGAGGGCGCCCAATAAGAGGTCGAAGGGAGAGGATTGAAACAGAAATGTTAAGGTGCTCAATGCCTCAAGGGTTGTGGTTCGATGGAGAGCAGTGGAGGTTAGGCGTCATAGAGCGCGAAGGAGTACTATGAAGCGACCTATTTGTATGTAACAAGCGTGAACATGTCAAAATGAGTACTGCAACACCTCTCATCAATCAGAAGTATCTGTCCTTTGAGTACACGTCTACTTTTGTAGATTCCCTTTCGCAGCCTCTTTTATCCTTTTCAGGTTGCTCAGTCCAAGCTTTTGAGTTGAGCGGATTGCATTGCCTCTAGCCAGAGGCTGATCTCTGTGATTCTGATGTACAATTTTTCTTTAACTAGCCAATCGATTGGGAAGAAGCTGAGAAAACACTAGAAGTTGACAAGTCTGTCGGACCAGTGAAGTGGGCCAAGCCTGGCTACAGAGGAGGCATGCAACAGCTGTATACTTTTGTCACTAAGCGCATTAAAAATTATGGAACTGCCAGGAATGATCCAAATAAAAATGCTTTGAGTATGCTTTCCCCATGGTTTCATTTTGGTATGTATATCAATCTTTTCTACAGTACTTAAATCTTTTTAATGCTGTAAACTGAAATATATTATCAGGTATACAACCAAGGAGAGTCATGTCTCTTAATTTGCTTTCATGCATTGACTGCTTTGATTTAAGCAATGAATCTCCCTGTTAAAATGTTGAATCTCCTAAGCCCTTAAACCTTTGCTTCCTCTATCCTTTTTTATGATACCACAAATATCAGAAATGATCCTTTTGTCCCAAAACGTAGAAAGTATGTACCATAACTCAAAAATTTCTTACATGTAGGTATCATCATGTTTCATATAATTGAACCATGGTTGAACAAGAAATGTAGGAGCCCTGGCATCTGCAAAGGCTTTGAGAGGATTAGAAACGGTGGTGATTAGGCTTCGCTTTAAGTGGATTCAGCATCTCATTTTGTGAAAAATATATCTCTCCTGTTAGAGTTCTTCAGAGATGAAAACCTCAACTAGTTGAAAGAAATTTTATCGGATTTGGAATAATTTGTAATATTATCTCCCAAGAAAACAAGTCAACGGCCTCTTGGATGATTTTTGGTCAGTTTCTAGCTCATTCTAGTCATAATGAAGATGAATTTCCTCATTTGTTCAAAAAACTGATGAATCTGAAATGAAAATACATAGTGTCAGGACAAATGCTGTACACTTGTTTCCTTCTAGTACAAATTTTAACCATTGATCAATTGTGATTTCAGGCCATATCTCAGTGCAGCGAGCAATCCTGGAAGTGAAAAAAGTGAAAGGCTATTCTGAAAGTGTTGCCGCATTTTGCGAGGAGGCAATCGTCCGACGAGAATTGTCCGACAACTTTTGTTTTTATAATAAAAACTATGATAGTATCAAAGGAGCTTATGACTGGGCGAAGAAGACTTTGAAAGATCATAGGTTGGTTCCTAAAGTCAATACAATTAATTTCTTCACTCATACAATTTTATTATCTTTCTATACAGCCTCATGAGGAAAACATAAATGTTCGATGTTAATTTTTTAATGGCAATGACAGCTTATACAAGATCGAGTCAAATCAATCCTGCATTTACAGCAGTGAAAAGAACTCAGTACCCCAGATTCTTAATGTGCTTTTGACTCTCAGAACTCTGATGTTCGCTAAAAATTTGTGGAAGCCCTGATTTGCAAACAGTTAAAGATTCATAAAACAACATATTAAGCGCTGACAGTTTTTTTGTAGTTTAATATGTTTTGAAGCATCAAATTTTTTTGAAAACCAAAATATGCTCAGTAATATAAAGAAAGCATCAATACTTAGCTGTGACTCCTTTGCTCTCCTCTTATAATTTACCATCAGGCATTCATTTTATAACTATAGCTCTTTGCTTTTTTGGTGAAAAATGAGAAGAAGAGAAGTATTCTAACATTTCAAGAAATTTTGTAACCACGTTTTACGGACCAATTTTTCTCATCTCACAGTGGCGACAAAAGACCATACTTGTACACCAAAGCTGAGTTGGAACAGGGCCACACACATGATGACCTGTGGAATGCTGCTCAAAACACACTAATCAATGATGGCAAAATTCATGGGTTCATGCGAATGTACTGGGCAAAAAAAATTCTCGAATGGACGGAATCTCCTGAACAAGCTCTTCAGTATGCCATTTACCTGAATGACAAGTACAGTCTCGACGGACGTGATCCCAACGGTTTTGTAGGTGCGTACTGTATGATGAGAAGTATTATTTGGTCTGAAAGTTTTTGATGGATGTTTAATGTTTATGGACGAATGGTTGTATGGAATGATGGAATATCCATTATTATCTCTGGTTGTAGTAATTTTACAAAGAATAGCCAGCATCCTTACAACCTTACATATCAATACTTGGATGCGCATTTTTCAGATACTTACAATCTTTTAGTTACTTTGAGTAATGTATATTGTAGATTTGCTTATTCTTTTGATTCCTAATGCATTGCCTGTCAATGTGCTTTCATGTAATCATCCTGGCCATCCCAGGAAAGCATACAATAAAATGACTCAATTTGGTGAACATTGAAAAACCTACAAAATTAGGGTTCAACAAAAATATAGGGTGGCTACCAGACTGGAAAGTCCGGAAAAAGTACGCATTTTTTTACCCGTAAGAGCGCGGTTGTTGTAGAGGAGCTGAGTAAGGCATTTCCCTAGATTTGACGGAAACAGCCGAAAAGGCCAGGTGAATAGCCAAAGTAAAGCGAGCGGCAGTGCCAAAATCAAAGAATTGCGATACATATCAAAAAGGTACTTAAAAAGTACTTAATTTTTCCCCAAGGCGAGGTACTTAAATTTTTCCTTAAGTACCTAAAAAGTACTGAAAAAGTACGTATTTTATTTTTGTGGACCTCAGTAGACACCCTAAAATATTTTCCCTGAAGATGAGGATTAAAGTTGCCTGTAGTATTTTTCCTTTACTATGAGATGATGAGTCCTTGTGATTCAAAAGCTGCATTTCGATAACTAAGCAATTTTATAGATTAAAGTAAATCTGGAATGATTAATTTTTCTTGTTTATCTGTTTACAGGATGCATGTGGTCAATTTGTGGTATCCACGATCAAGGATGGAGTGAAAGAGCAGTATTTGGCAAAATCCGCTACATGAATTATGAAGGTTGCAAAAGGAAATTCGATATTAATGGGTACATAATCAAACATGGAGGAAAAGTTTATACCAAGGGTAAAGAGAACACTATGGATAAATTTGTCAAGAAGAAGAAGTAAATTCTTGTCCAAAAAATTTCATTGTCACGGAGTTAAAAATAATTCCGGCTAAACTGCTCATCACTGACTCTCAGTTCACTCTGTCTCAAAAATTTATCTGCAGATCTGTTATTCCCCGTATTCAAGTTGAGGTTGAAAAATACGGGAATAAATGAAATCCTCTCGAAACTGAAATTAGGAAAGTTTTTCAAACGTTTCAGTTCAAACTTAAAGTACAAAAAAACGCATACCGGTTGTTTTTCCGTTAGAAGTTTTAGCAATATTTTCAATTTATAACTGTAAAACTAATACATCACATTTCAGTCCAACTGTTTTATATTTTTGTGATCTTATCCCACTCTATTTTTTATGTTTTGCTCCACAAAATATTCAGCCAGTAATTTTCTATGATGTAGCCCAGTGGATTTTGAAACTGTAACATAGATTTGAAGCAATCATCGAATTGATTAACTTGATGTCATTGGTTTACCAGTATTTAAATATATTGTTGTTGTTGAAAATGTTTTATTACTTTCAACATAACTGAATTTTACATATTACACAGTGCTCTCATTAATTAGCTCTTCAAAAAATGTGAGTAATCTTTTAAGGCACCCGACTCATACAAGTAGTGAAAAGACAACTGTATTTTAAAACTCCTTTTATTTTAATTTTTATACTGTGACTTTCTGCAAGTAATCTAGGGCATTCAATTCCATCTTTTGCACTTTTTTTAAAGAGATGAGACAAAACACAAGTCAAGTTCCTTACCTTTACATCCAATTCTCCATTCAAAAACTTATTACTACTAACTATTTTGCACAAACTTAAGCCGAACAATCTTTTTTATAGTCCCCTTTGATGTTCTCCATGACAGTTTGCCTCTGTATAATCATTCTTCCCTCTTTTCTCTCCCCTCCCTCTCTTTTTCCAATGAGAGATGGACGATTTTGATCCCTCTACAATTGGAAAGGTCCTTTTTTTACCATCAGGTTTACATTTTATTGTACCCTTTTAAACAATTCAAGTCACCATAAGATCTCCAAAAGAGCTCTGTTCTTACCTATTTAATTCCTAGAACTGTCTGTAATCGGTGTTCTCAATTGACGACCAAAGTATTTTCAAAGTCGTTCATTCTCATCATGTTAAACTTTCTGCACTTGTCTTTTTATGTTAATATCTCCTCATTTCTTCGCATTATCTCAATGTTTTAGTCCAGTTCATCGCTATTGCGCATCAGCACTTTTGTATCTGATGGAAATTATTGTTTCTTTTTGCTAGATTAAACGGGTGATAGTTGTAAACAAAGTTATTTACTTCTATGTTTAGTTGTCTAGATTTTTCTAGCTTTTAACATCTGAACACCTATTTTTCTTGTTTTTGCCTGTTAGTATTTAAGTAATTATTCCTTATTGTTTGCACATGTTATATCATGTTTCATATCTCCCTTTTTTCTCTTAATTTATTTACTTTTTTTGGCCTCTATGATTCATTCATTTAAGTATTTTTAGTTATTTTTTTACCGAATAAAAAAAAATAATGCAGTGCATAATCTCCTTGTCAGAGTATTTTTCTCCTATCCTAAATTTTCTAGATACAAGTGTGCTTGGTCTTGGAAATTGTCTCTAAGTAGTATATTTTCTTGTTTTAAATTCTTGAAACAGATGAACAGGTATAAGTTTTACATACTAAAACGTAGTTTGCGCATCGCTCCAGTAAAATGAAGAGGATTTTAAAATTAAAGCTTGATGAAACTAGAGGAACCATTATTACTTTTGCTGTTTCAAATTTTCTGCATTTACTCACTTTCTTGACGAATTCAAGACTTTTCATCAACAGTATTATGAAATGTGAGAGAAAGTCAGCAAAGCTTCAGACATACTTTAAGGTACTGTTAGGTACATGCTACTCTAGTTTCAACAAAAATCCCATCTTACATCGAAAGATGAAGGTCCTCTGCGTGTAGGCAAGTTTTCAGCACAAACTAAGGAGTTAGTGTGAGCACTAGGGCACGGAGGCTATTGAAAGAACTACGCGAACTCAACTCCAACTTTGCTTCTTTCTAGTATGTAAGTGAAGTTGCCGTAGCCGCGTTTTGAAGGCGTTTTGGTCGTCTTTCTTATTGACACTTGCTCATAATCAGGCACATGCCTGTGTTCATCACGGGGGGGGGGGTTTGAGACAAAAATTCGTTCTAAGGAGAAGATCTTCAAATCCCTTCTCCAACTTATCAATCCTCTCATTCCACACTGAAAACTTAAATGCTTGGAATACTTAAGCTTAAGTGATTTTACTTGCGCACAACAGGACGTCAATCACTGCGAATTTAAAAATTATATATATTTTACAAAATTTATTCGTATCACCTCTAATTTTATCCTCTTTTCTGATACGGTTTCGAAAAATAGGAAAATCCCTGGGACGCTGAAACCACTTTTTTTCAGGGCTGTAGGGAAGGGGAAGGGTCACCGGTTTCCCTCTGAGCATGGGCGCTGTACCTAAGATAGTTCCGAAGTTCTTAATCACGAAATTCTGAAATTTCTTGGGTTTTGAATTCAGCCCTCACTTAGAATACACTACTTACTTAAATACTTTTTTTTTTTCTCACCTGCCCTTAAATTTTTTTAATAACTTTCAGTGCATGATCAGATTATCTGTTCATTCTGTTCGTTTGATACAGAGTTTTCAATTTTCAAAAATGTCATCCAATACAAGTATAATATATCTTATTCTTTTCAATTAAATCACAAGAATAACGCACAATGCATGAGGCGCGAAGCGTTTTAGGGGGTCGGACCTTGAGTACCTATAGTCGGACCGTGAAGCAATTAAGGGGCGCACCCCCTAGTTTTTCATAAACTTTTTTTTTTTTTTTTTCAAATACTTACAATTTATAAAAATTGTAATTTTTGATGGAACATGCGCGAGTAGATGAGCAGCAGTAGCAGTTACTAGTCTGAAGAAGCGCAGCAGCTTCAATACTCGCAATACGGTACAACTCCGCATTTCCCCCTCCTCTGCGCAGTTCCTCCTCTCCGACGGACACATTGAACCTGGCATTGGGGAATCCAATCTCCCCGCAAGTTAGTCTGTAGTCGGCAACCTGCAGAACGTGGCGCCGTCGTTCAATAAACAGCGGTCCGTGTCGGATTCAAATTTTAATGCATATGTGTGATGTAAATTTGAGATCATTTTGAGCCTCAGATTCGCAATTTTAATCTTAAACATCTGCTTCCATAGAATTACTCCGCGTCATGTAGTTATTTGTTATGTTTGTGCTGTGAAATCGTCTCGTTCAGTAGTGTGATAAGCCTCAGCGATTTTGTTTGTTTATGTATGCAACTCCATTCAATTTTCACCTGTATTGGAAATCTTATCAACGAGCAGCAGTTATTCTCTTCAAGCAGGTAAAATCAAAGTTCAAATACTCATTAAAGTGCGAAGTCTGACATTTTGTTTAAATGAATTCACAGCAAAAGGGTAAACCTCATGGCTTGTGGCCATGCCTGGGACAGTGTTGAAAAGATGCTGAATTCAGATAAGATGCTATTCTTCAGGCTTCACCCATATCAATCGCATGACTGCTTATTTTTCTTTTGCCTACTCTTCTTCATTTACCATTATTACCAATTCGTTGTACTTTATAATTGTATGCTCATTCTAACTCTGAAATTCCACAGCAGGCAGCTTTTAATGTGATCGTTAGTTGTTGATGATCTCGGACATTTTTTTTTTAAATAAATGAGCTGTTTGTTGAAACGCTTCATTCGATTTTAAAGTTACTTGAACAACTGCATCACATTTAGGCTGAATGGTTGCCCCCGGTTATTTTTCGCGTTAACATCTTATTCACCTGTAAAGTGTGTCTGAGAGTTAGGTTATCCGTCAAATTGTTTATGATCCCGCATGAGTTTTACCTTATCTACTGAGGAATAATGCTGGTTTAAAAGTAGCTTTCAATACTTAGAAGAATTTCTAATTCAGGCGGTTTGAAAGACATGAACTGTAATGTTTTCTGAATGTGTCATACCCATCAGGAAAAGGGACAAATTGTTTAGGTAACATTCCAACATTAGGTTTCGCTGGTAACTTATCTGGTGACTGAATGATTACCTCTAAACATATCTCTCTAAATACAAGCCAAAAGTGAAATTGGGAATTCGAAAAAGTTCTAGTGTCAACCATTGTTTCTTTGCTCAAATCAACAGAACATGAATCGCCTCTGTGTTTGATAACTTTTACAACCGCTGGTTTCTTCATCTCCCATAATTTTTCAGGAATAGAATCTCAACACTTGTTGTGTTTAAGATACCAATGGACAGATTGGTGAGAGATTTCTGTTCTTTTTAACTTTCTATGAGGAATCGAGTGTGGCATGGTTTTACTTTTGTTAAGAATGTGGGTTTACAAGTTAGAACTGATGATAACACCCAATTTGGCGCAACGCAAAAAGGCGTGCTAAATTTTTCGGTGCGTCTACGCAAGTTCAACTTAGTAAAAACAAGTGTAAAAATAACTGAGAGTTCATATGAAGTAAAATTTTCATAGGTATGTTACAGTATTTAAAATGTCACTGCACTCGTATTCAATTCTTCCAAACACCCCCCTTTCCAATTTTTACAACGGGGTCCTAAATTTTTAGTTCCAATTTCCCTCGCAAACTCTATTTGCTTCAGACTAAGCAGCTTTTCTTGATTACTGTTGTGCTTTAAGTAAACTAGTTTGTGACGTAAATAGTCAGGTTTGTGAACTACAAGGTTGGCGTTTATTGATTTTCTTTTTACTCTGGCAGAAGAGGAATCTTAGTGAAAAAAGATTATATTTTGATCAATCTTCACTGAAACCTTTTATACTTTTTTGCTTCCTGTGAATACAGATACCTCCCAAGTATTGCCTCGCAATTTTTTAAATTTTTTTTTTAAAAAGAAATTTCAATGCAGTTGTAGGTAGGTAAATGATATTGTTTCTGCGTCCATTCAATTGAAAGAAATTGCACTGATGATTGTACTGCGTCCTCATCCATAGAATTGGAAAGACAATCCTCCATGAATAAAGGATTTCTCCTGCAAGATATGATTTTGGATTATGGATAGCAAATCTGTTGGTTTCAGTGAGGCACCCACAGACGTTCATCCACAGACGTTCATGTTATGAACGTAAGTATAATGTTAGCCTCGTTAAATTCTGAGTGCAAGCGCGCAACTATTCGATCTCCGAAGTAGGTATGTGGTATCGAGTGGAAATGAAGGAAAATCTTAGCTTTTCGCCTGTTTCAAATTACTGAGGAAATCAAGCGCGCAACTATTCCAACTGCGGAGTAGGAAAGTGGCATCCAGCGAAAATGAAGGAAAATCTTAGCTTTTCGCCTGTCTCAAATTAATGACGGTTATGCTGCCGCGCATAACCATGTAAGGAAGAACGCCGTATGAACATTCGAGAGTTGCCAAATTTCCTTCGATAAAATAATTATTTTTTAGGAAAGTTATGAATGTTTTCCCTCTAAATTTTCAAAAATTTTAGGTAAAATTGCGAACTAAATCATCTAAAAAATTGGGAGGAAAATATTCTTTACTTTACTAGGAAATTCGCGTTTTATCAAACAAAATTTGGCTACGTCTGATGGGTCATACGGCGTTTTTCCTCAGCACGGCAGCTTGTATGCAGGTATTATACCTACTCGCGTCGTCATATGTGGGAATCAAGCGTGCAACCATTCGACTGGGTCAAAAATCCGTTGAATTTATTTTTTTAGGTAGTGGTTTAATAAGTATAGTTTTTACTTACAAAAAAAAAAAAAAAAAAAAAAAAAAAAAAAAAAAAAAAAAAAAAAAAAAAGATTTTAACCATATGAATAGCAACTCAGCAGAACCATGAAACTCGATTATAGTTATTAAGTCGTCGCCATAGTTATGCTCATACTCAATATGCTGTCTGTGAACAAAACGAAGGATTGGACGCACCGAACGGCAATGCAGGAATCTTCGAGCTTGCGGAAAATTAGGGTGAATTTAGAGAACATGAAGTAGTTTCGTGATCTCGGTCATTGTTCAGCCACTCATTTTTACCAGCTCATTTGAGCCTCTTTGAATTTCATGTGAAATTGTTTGCTACTCAAATTAACGGCGAAATCTTCCTGTTGACGCGGTAGATCGTCGCTGATTCTTTTGGCCAAACCGTCACGAAAGAGAGCCCTATTCAGAAGCCGTTCCATCCAAATTACTTACATATTTAATTAATCGATGCATTTTTTTATGAATAGATACGCTGCGTGGTTCCAGCGCGTTATAAGATTTCGTTTCCCTTACTTTTTTTTCGAAGTTCACCGCATTCGCCTTGCCCGGTCTTTTGCAGACCCAACTAAAATTCTTGTTCGGTCAGCAATTTTCGTTTTATCCTTTTGACAGTCTCAACAAATTCTAATTGATTTCGGTGCGTGCTATGAATTTTATTCTATACTACCATGCTAAGTAAGAACGCCGTAGGAACATTCGAGAATTGCCAGACTTCTCCGGATGGAAAATGTATTTTCGAGGAAGGCTGTGCATATTCCTC